CATAGTATGTACCAAGTTTGAGGGAAATTCATAAAACATAAAGGTGATCATATGGGGATATTAAACATAATATGCATGACCAAGCTAAAACATTGTAAAATCTTTAAAGAAGAATCATAAATCATGAACATGGTAAATGAATTTTAAAATCATATTGAAAGCTTTCATAAAAACTTTTTGAAGGTAACTTAGTTTAGTTTTTGGGATATTTATCATTAACCGACATAAACCATATGAGCTATAACATGAAATCCCGTATCATACTCCCACATCGAAAAGAGATGTTCTACTTACCAAGGTAAGGACCATAAACTTCTAGCTTAGGTGGATCTATTACTTATGTATTTCTAAGATAAATCTTACGGGGGGACATAGTTAGGACAAGAAGATTGCTACAAGAAACCCGCCCTCTACTAACGGGAGAACCTCCATCTCAATGTCCTCTCAGTGCTAAGTAGAGATCCCAATGGAATAATCATATTCATATTTATATTCATATTTACATTCATATTAATATTCATATTCATATAATCATACTTGGAAAACCACAATTAAGTTACTAATTCAATCTTAATTCATCATACAATAGCTCCTTAAATCATGATTTAAACATGTGAAGAAAACCTTTCACCAATCATGATTACTTAATATGTGAAAATACTTTTCACAATTCATGCATATGTGAGAAAACCTTTAACAATTTCATTGATGCTTATCTCAAAAGAAACCTTATTTCATAAAACATCTTTTTTCATAAATCATGCATAACTTTCATAAATCATCATTTCAAAAGTTATAGCTTTCTTCATAAATTCATTGTCAAAGTCATGAATAATGCATGGGTCCATATGAAATCAATTGGAAAAATGTGTAATTGTATCAAATCATTCATAATAAGATTTAAATCAAACAATTGAATCATAACAAGTAGAACCCATGGAGAATTGTATGAAACTCTAATCAAATTAGGTGAAATTGACTTTAGGGATTGAGATTAGTTGGGACCCAATGGATGAATGGAATCTATTGGTGAATTCCACATACCTTGATGATCAAAGACCAAAAGCAATGCAGGAAAAAAGAGACTTGAATCTTGAACTCTAGATTTTCTTCGTTGAAACTTGAGAGGATTTGGAGGGGATGAATGTGGATGAGTTTTGGGAATTTGAGAGAATGAGAGGGTTTAGGTAGATTTAGGAGTAAAAAGATAGTTATAGGACTTAGAAATAGGGGCAAAATGATATAATATAAGTATTAAATGCATAGAAAAAGACCTAAATACCCTTAACAAATAACTGGTGAACAATCTTACTAGTTGGACCTACCTGTACTGGTCAACCGTAGAACCAACTTTAGAAACCCAAAAATTCAATCAATTCCTATGAGATCCTCATACGGTCTGTCTTTTGTTCTATGACCCATAGACCCCATCTATAGAACCCATGTTCAAATCAAAATTTCACAAAATCTAGTTCACTCCTATGAAAGCATCGTTTGGCCCATAGAAGGTACTACAACTTGTCCATCTTAACTAATAGACTGAGGTCTCATGTTATTTTCTCTGAATCCTTTCTATGAGACTCATCTACGGCCCATCTAGCACCCTACGGTTCATCTTGTTCACTCAAAGATCAAACTTTAGAATCTTGAATTTTTCTAAAACTCAACTCAGCTTCTACGATTTCCCTTCTATGACTCATAGGAATTCTACAGTCCCTAAATAGGATTCGTAGTAACTACATCAGTACCAATGTTGAACTTTTCCTTTTAATCCAACTTTCTAATTTCTAAGATGTTACAAATTTGTAATGGCCTAGCCCGCTAGTGAAGTTGTCTGCTTTGGGTGTAGGCCCACATGAATCTAAAACATGTCGCTATTTGGTAAAGCCTACTTACTTATATAACCAATATCTCTGATGAGTTTTCTTTTGTGGAACTTCTTTTCTTTAACTAGGGTGTTACATACACCCTCACTATAGACTCAGCGTCCCCGTTAAGGTTTACCTCATTGAAAGGGATTTGCCTAGACTTAGCACTGAGGTTTATCCCGCTTTATCGGGATTTGCCTAAACTCAGATGAACTTTGGCCCACATAGACAACGCTGATATATGAGTGACTCTGATACATTTGTAATGACCTAACCCGCTAGTGAAATTTTCCGTTTTGGTTCTAGGCCCGCAGACTTTAAAACGCGTCACTCATTAGTAAGGTCTACTTACTTATATACCCAACATCTCTCCTATGTTTTCCGATGTGGGATTTCCTGTCTTAAGCTGGGGCATTACACAACAAAAGTATAGAACTTGAAGTAGTTGAAAAAGTTGAATGCCCTACAAAAGAAGATGTGTCAATTAGCAACACAAAGATGAATGATAGTGATACATAAAAAAAAAATCTCTCTATGGTAGTATTTGAAGGCCAAAAATACCAACAAATATGGGATAACTTAATGAAAGAATTAGATAATCCAGTTGATTAGGTACCATTGCAAATTGTATATGTAGTTGAAGGAAGATTCTCACCTATTAATGAATAGATTCAGAGATTACAGTTAGAAGATGTTATTTCACAAAGTAAGGTAGGATTACCTATCACTTCTAGTGGATAAAAGTCCCCTCGTATGGAATCATTGCATGTTATTAGGTATCATCAAGATTAAACCAATGATGAAGCTAGCTCACAACTAACAGTCACAATTGTAAAGGTAGTAGGGAGTGAAGAAGATAAAGAAGAGGAAAATAAAGACAACATTTTGCAAAGAGTTAGTACAGAAGCAGGTATGCCTCCTAAAAAGCAGACCAAAGGGAGAAAGAGTAAAGATAAAGGAGATAACAACAACTATAAGGTGGAAACAAGGTTACAGTCAAAGAGGGTGGGGAAAGCACTTTCTAAATGAAATATAAAGCTCTATTCTGGAATATCACGTGTGTGAGAACTCAACATGTAATACCCCAGATTTGAGAAAGGACAAAATTTAAGATTTCAAAAGTTGCAAGTGCCACAAACGGAGGCCACCTATGGACCGTAGGTTGAGCCATAAACCATAGGTGGGATCCCTGGTTGGTTACCTCAACTCCACCCAGAAAGTTTAGTAAAGGTACGACCCACGGCAAAACCTACAGACCGTATGTCAGACCACGGTCTGTGGTCTAGGTCTATGGATCGTGACCCTCAATACCAACTCTTTGAAGCCAAACGACGCCCTGCCAGGACAGACGTTAGGCAGTCCATAGTCCGTCAGTTAGGGGCCTTCAATGACTTCGTCAACTATTAAGTCAGGGTTGTTATGGTCTTTTCACCTATGCTTAGGACATTTAAACTACGTCGTTTTAACCCTGAACTACGTCGTTTTGGTCAGTTTTAGCCTAGTATTCTAGTCAGACTTTACTCTAAGTGATTCATTCACAAAAATACATCAAACTTAGAGCAAAAGAGGAGAAAATAGGTGACCTAAACCTTCCAAGAACGCAATAGGTTTTCTCCAATTCCATCCCCAAAATCGAAGGATTTCTCCATAGATTTTGTCACCAGGTATGTGGGATTTCACTAGTGGGTTCCTTTCATGCACTAGGTCCCTAGAAAACATTCAGATTCTTAATTCTTTATATCTTGTTTAGACCTTGGGTTTCTAAAACCTTAGAAATTAGTTGTGATTTAGCTGTTATAGTGTTCTTAATCAAATTATCATGTTTTCGTAAAATTGTTGCTTAGTCCTTTGCATGAAACTCAGAATTCTAGTTGTGTAGATTCTCTTAGTTCATGAATTACACTTTCTAGGTCAGTTAAACAAATGTACATGCTCCAGTTTCGAATGTTTCATTGTCAGTATTTAAATGTTGCATTATCATATTTTCATGTTAGAATATTAAGCTATCCAATATTTTATTTATGTATTATACACATTTCCAGTTGGGAGAAGGCTTAGAATCGAGTTGGACTTGGGTTCAACGTACCCTCAAAGTCCGAAAACTACGTGCCCCTTTAGGTTTATAAGTCCCTTCTGTGGGCATCAAATTTAGTGATCAGACCAGTCATGCCTTTATACCCCTGGCAAGGTATTTTGGGTCCTTTTGATGGGACGTCTACATCGGACTCCATGTTTAGCTCACGTTGTTTTCTGACGGTTAATAGTAGCTCCTACAGTCAGACTCTACCGGATTTGACCAGGTTTTTAGTTATACTTTAGTATTCAGTCTCAACATGTTATGTGAATAGTCAGTACTTGGTAATTGCATTCAGTTTAGTTCATTTCAGTATTATTGTTATAATTCAGATTATGTCATTGCTCAGTTATCTTTTGTTCAGCTTATTTGTTTGTTCACCTATTATCCATATCCTTCATGCTTAGTATATTCCAAGTACTGACGCATACTCTACGCTACACCCTTTCATGATGTAGGTTCTAGTCCTCAGCATCTAGATCACGCGTAGATCATTTCTCGATCCATATTTAACAGCAACAGTGGTGAGTCCTCATACTTCGAGGATAATAGATATGTTTTCCATTTTAGGATTTTATTTCAGTATTTCAGATTTTGCTAGAGTTAGCCGGGGGCATGTCCCAGCAACTCTAGTCAGTAGAGGATTTTTCAGACATAATATTAGATTCAGCTTTAGTTTTGAGTGAATGTTTAGTATCATTGAACTCTTAGTAGTTATATATATATTTAGATCAGTATTGAGTATTCCCATCTTTCAATTATCTCATGTTTTAGCTTTCACAAAGTACTCTTTACTCAGTTGTTTTAGTATGCTTATGATATGCCATCTTCAGGGTTAGCTTAGGGTCACTCATGATCCTATGTCCCTTGTTTACGTCAAACGGATAGCCTTGGGGGGTGACAAACTTGGTATCAGAGCATTAGGTTTAATAGTCTTAGGATATCTGAAAAGCCGCACTAAGTAGAGTCCCTTTCATGAGTATGAAGTGCACCACATCTATGAGAGGGAGGCTATGAAGTGTTTTAAGAAAAACTTTACTTTCATTGCTATGCTAATCATGCGTGAGGTATGATCCAATTTCTCCATTCTAATCCATCGTTATGCGTTTCAGATCATGCCTCATCGTAGAACTTACACAAGGAATGCTAATGCACACAACGCTAATGCAGTTCCTTTAGTCCCAGACCATAAGGTTTCGAATGCAGAATTTCAGAATGCGATTCAGCTCTTGGCTCAGAGTGTAGCCAATCAGAATAATCAACATGCTCCAGTTCCTACAAATGCTAATAGTGGGTCAGCAACAACTAGGGTTCGATATTTTGTTTGAATTAATCTACCTAAGTTTTTAGGGTCACAAACTGGTGAGGACCCACATAACTTCATTGATGAGGTTAAGGAAATATTTGGAGTGATGCAAGTGACTGGTAATGATAGGGTGGAGTTGGCATCCTACCAGCTTAAGGATGTGGCTCACATTTAATTCACTTAGTGTAAAGAAAATAGGGGTGCAGATGCAACTCATGTGACTTGAGACTGTTTTACTGGAGCTTTTCTTGATAGGTTCTTCCCGAGAGAGTTAAGGGAAGCTAAAGCTCAAGAGTTCATGAATTTAAGGCAAGGTACCATGTCAGTCCAAAAATACAGACTTATGTTCAACCAACTCTCCGGGTATGCTCTACACATGGTTGCCGATCCAAGGGCACAACTGAGTAAGTTTCTATTTGATGTATCCGACATGGTGAAGACAGAGTGCAGGGATGCTATGTTGTTAGAGGATATGAATATCTCTAGGCTTATGACTTATGCTCAACAGGTTGAGAGAGATAAGCTTAGGGAAATGTCTAAGGACAATAAGAAGGCTAGAACAGGGAACTATGCATACTCTCAGCAAAAATCGAGTGGTGGAATATTGCTCACAATTTCAGCAGAGATCTACAGCCCCAACACCTTTCATCTGCTAGTGCTTTATCCCCCAGGTTTCGACAGGATCAGAAAAGTATTGCATTAAGCTTTGAGTCTCAGGGGAGTGCTTCTGGTAATAGGACTTTCCCAATTTGTCCAAAGTGTGGTAAGAACCATCCCGGAGAGTGTCTTGCCCGCAAGAAACGATACTTTGGGTGTGGTCAGTCTGGCCATAGGCTGAAAGATTGCCCTTCTGCTAGGCAGGGGAAATGAGGTAACAATAATAGGGTTCAACTCCAGCAGCACCAGTAGGTGACCCAACTCAGCAGGGTGCTTCATCTAGTACTGGTGGCGGTCAACGCCAGAATAGGTTTTATGCTCTCCAGGCTCGCCAGGATAAGGAAAATTCTCCTTATGTGGTCTACGTTACGAGTCTTTCATTTAGATGTTTATGCATTGTTAGATCCAAGGGAAACTCTTTCTTTTATAACTCCCCATATAGCAGTAAACTTCGTTGTCAATCCAGAAACTCTTTCAGAACCCTTCTCAGTTTATACTCCAGTTGGTGACACAGTTATAGCTAGATGGGTATACATAAATTGCCCTGTCACAGTCTCTCGAAAAGTTACCTCAGCAGATCTTTTAGAGTTAGAAATGGTAGATTTCGATATCATTCTAGGCATGGATTGGTTACATTCTTGTTATGCCTCAGTCAATTGTAGAACTAGGATAGTTCGATTTCAGTTTCCAAACGAGCCAGTCTTAGAATGGAAGGGTAGTAGCTCAGTGCTTATGGGTCGATTTATCTCTTACCTTAAGGCCAGAAAGATGATCTCTAAAACGTACTTCTATCATTCTGTTCGAGTTAAGGATTCAAGCTCCGAAACCCCAACTCTTGAGTTAGTCCTAGTAGTAAATGAATTTCCAAAAGTGTTTCCATAAGATCTTCCTGGAGTTCCTCCCGAAATGGAAATCGATTTCAGAATTGATCTCCTTCCAGATACCCAACCTATTTTGATTCCTCCTTACATAATGGCTCCAACTGAGTTTAAGGAATTGAAAGAACAGCTGAAAGACCTTCTAGATAAGGGCTTCATCAGACCGAGTATCTCTCTAGAGGGTACTCCAGTGTTGTTTGTTAAAAAGAAAGAAGGTTTTCTCAGAATGTGCATTGACTATCACTAGTTGAACAAAGTCACAATCAAGAATAAGTACCCTATCCCCATGATTGATGACTTGTTTGACAAACTTCAGGGTGCTAGTTATTTTTCGAAGATATATCTCAGATCCGGTTATAATCAGCTCATAGGAAGAGATACTGACATCCCAAAAATAGCGTTTAAAACTCGGTATGGTCATTATGAATTTGTAGTTATGTCTTCTGGACTAACAAATTTTCTTGTAGATTTCATGGACTTAATAAATACGGTGTTCAAGAAGTATTTGGACTAGTTCGTTATCATCTTTATTGATGATATCCTCATTTAATCTAGGAATTAGGAGGAGTTTGCGACTTATCTGAGAGTTGTTCTGCAAAATGTCAAAGATTGCCAGTAATTTGCTAAGTTAAACAAATGTGAATTTCGGTTACAAACAGTTACTTTCTTTGGTCATGTGGTATCTAGCGAAGGAATCCGAGTGGATTCTTAAAAAATAGATGCAGTGAAGTAATGGCCCAGATCCACCTCACCAATATATATCAGAAGTTTCTTGGGTTTGGCTGGTTATTAGAGGAGATTTGTCGAATGATTTTCATCCATAGTTGACTACACCTTCGGTCTTGACCTTATTAGATGGTTCAAATGGTTATGTGATTTATTGTGATGCATCCAGGGTCGGCCTAGGTTGTGTGTTGATGCAACAAGGTAAGGTTATAGCTTATGCTTCTAGACAACTTAAGCTGCATGAGAAGAACTATCCGACTTATGACCTCGAGCTTGCAGCGGTAGTATTTGCCCTAAAGATTTAGAGACATTACTTGTATGGTGTTCACAGACCATAAGAGCCTCCAGTATGTGTTCACCCAGAAAGAGTTGAATCTTTGCCAGAGGAGATGGCTTGAATTTTCAAAGACTATAACATGAATGTGCTTTATTATCCTGGTAAGGCCAAAGTAGTAGTAGATGCTCTCAATAGACTTTCTATGGGTAGTGTAGCACATGTTGAAGAAGAAAAGAAGGAATTAGCCAAAAATGTTCACCGTCTTGCTCGCTTAAGAGTTTGCCTTATGAACATATTAGATGATGGTGTGATAGTTCAGAATGGGTAAGAATCTTCATTGGTAGCAGACGTTAAGGAAAAAAAAGACAGTGATCCTATATTGCTTCAGTTGAAGGGTATAGTTCACTAGCAAAAAGTAGAGGTTTTCTCTGAAAAGGGAGATGGTGTGCTTCATTACAAGGGTCGCTTATGTGTTCTTTATATGGGTCAGTTGAGACAACAGATCCATAAAGAAGCCCATAACTTGAGGTATTCTTTTTATCCAAAAGCCACTAAGATGTACCGTAATCTGCGGGAAGTATTTTGGTGGAACGACATGAAGAGGGACCTAGCAGATTTTATGGCTAAGTGTCTTAATTGTCAACAGGTTAAGGTAGAACATCAGAAACCAGGAGGTATGACTCAAGAGATTAACAATCCTACATGGAAGTGGATGGTGATAAAGATGGACTTCGTCACGGGTTTACCTCGTACTCGTAGACAACATGACTCCATTTGGGTAATAGTAGACAGAGTTACTAAATTCTCTCACTTTTGGCTGTCAAGACTACAGATTCATCGGAGTACTACGCTAAACTCTACGTTAATGAGATAGTTAGATTGCATGGGGTTCCTTTGTCTATCATCTCAGATAGATGTCCTCAGTTTACCTCTCATTTTTGGAAATAATTTCAGAAAGGTCTTGGTACTCAGGTAAATCTCAGCACAACATTTCATCCACAGATGGATGGACAGGAAGAGCGTACCATTAAGACCTTAGAGGACATGTTGAGATCTTGCGTGATCGATTTCAAGGGAAATTGGGATGATCACCTACCTCTCATAGATTTTGCTTATAATAATAGCTACCATTCCATTATTTAGATAGCCCCTTATGAGGCATTATATGGGAATAGATGCATATCTCTAATTGGTTGGTTTGAAGTAGGTGAAGCAACATTGATTGGGCCAGATTCAGTTCATGAGGATATGGAAAAAGTTCAGCTCATCAGAGATAGACTAAAGACAACCCAAAGTTGTCAGAAGTCCTATATAGATGTAAGGAGGAATGGACTTAGAGTTTAAGATTAATGATTGGGTTTTTTCTGAAAGTGTCACCTATGAAGAGGGTGATGAGATTTGGCAAGAAAGGGAAGCTCAGTCCTAGATATGTAGGTCCTTATAGAATCCTGAAAAGGGTTGGTAAGGTGGATTATGATATAGAATTACTAGCAGAACTAGCAGCGATTCATCCATTCTTTCACATTTCCTTGTTGAAGAAATGTGTGGGTGATCAGGAATTAATAGTACCATTAGAGAGCGTGGCTGTGAAGGATAGTCTCACTTATAAAGAGGTGCTAGTTGAGTTTCTTGACCGTCAGGTTCATAGGTTGAGAAATAAAGAAGTCATTTCAGTTAAGGTTTTGTGGAGGAGTCAATCCGTAGAGGGAGCTACTTGGGAAGCAGAAGCAACCATGAAGAACAAGTATCCTCACCTCTTTCCTTCTGATTCTGTTTCAGCTTGAGGTAATAGTTCCTCTCCCGTCTCTCAGTTTACTCTTGCATAAATTCAGTCTTAGTATCATGTTCCTTTAGTTGTTCTTACATTTTCAGCATATTTGCATGTTCTTGGAACTCAGTTAAGCCAAATTTCAGTTTCTAGTAGTTAGTGGTAGGGATTGCAGCTCCTTTCCTCCATACCCAGCTAGTTTAGTCTTTATTCGAGGATGAATGTTCCCAAGGGGGAGATAATGTAACACCCCGGATTTGATAAAGGACAAAATTTTGGATTTTTAGAAGTTGCACGTGCCACAGACGAAGGCCACTTATGTACCGCAGGTTGAGCCACAGACTATATGTGGGGTCTGTGGTTGGTCACCTCAACTTCACCAGAAAGTTCAATGAAGGCACGAACCACGGCTGTACCTACGTCAGACCACGGTCCGTGGTCTAGGTCCGTGGATCGTGACCCTCAGCACCAGCTCTTTGAAGCCAAACGATGCCCTGCTAGGATGGACCGTCGGTCAGTCCACGGTCTGTCGGTCAAGGGCCGTCAATCGCTTTATCAACTGTTAAGTCAGGGTCATTTTGGTTATTTCCCCTATGCTTTGGACATTTAAACTACGTCGTTTTAACCCTAAACTACGTCATTTTGGTCAGTTTTAGACTAATATTCTAGTCAAACTTTACTCTAAGTGATTCATTCACCAAAATTCATCAAACATAGAGCAAAAGAGGAGAGAGGTGACCCAACCCTTCCAAGAACGCAATAGGTTTTCTTCAGTTCCTGCCCCAAAATCGAAGGATTTCTCTGTAGACTTCGTCACGAGGTATGTGTGATTTTACTAGTGGGTTCCTTTCATCCACTAGGTCCCTAGAATTCAATTAGATTCTTGATCTCTATATCTTGTTTAGACCTAGGGTTTCTAAAACCTTAGATATTACTTGTGATTTAGCTGTTATAGTGTTATTAATAAGATTATCATGTTTTCGTGAAATCATTTCTTAGTCGTTTGCATGAAACTCAGAACCCTAGTTGTGTTGATTCTCTTAGTTCATGAATTACATTTGCTAGGTTAGTTAAACAGATATACATGTTCTAGTTTCGAATGTTTCATTGTTAGTGTTTAAATGTTGCATTCTCATATTTTCATGTCAAAATATTGAGCTATCTAGTATTTTAATTATGTGGTATTATACACATTTTCAGTTAGGAGTAGGCTTAGCACCGAGTTGGACTAGGGTTCAGCGTACCCTCATAGTCCTAGAACTACGTGCCTCCGTAGGTTTATAAGTCCCCTCTATGGGCATCATATTTAGTGATCACGCTAGCTATGGCTTTATAACCCTAACAAGGTATATTGGGTTCTCTCGATGGGGTGAATACATCGAACTCCACGTTTAATTCACATGGTTTTATGTCAGTTAATAGTAGCTCCCACAGTCAGACTCTAGTGCATTTGACTAGGTTTTCAGTTATACTTCAGTATTCAGTCTTAGCATGTTATGTAAATAATCAGTACTTGGTCATTGCATTCAGTTCAGTTCATTTTAGTATATTTAAGTATTATTAT